ACAGCACCAAGAGCTCTGGGTTTGAGCTGGGAACAACGATAGGCTGATCAAGGAGAAAGAGGTGATGGGGAAGAGAGGAAGATGTCTGAAAAGCAGGCACAGATTTAAGTGCTTGCCTTGACAGCTGGGAAGAGCATGCCCAACCCATCACTGGGGTTTGTTAGCAGAAGATACCAACTAGGGAGAGCCAGCACCCCTCAGTCTCTGCGATCTGAGCCTACGTACGTACCCCTTTGTCACACTGGAACGAGAGAAGAGCGGTGCCTCAGGCTCTGCAAGCACGAGATGTCAGCGAAGGGCATCACCAGAGCCTGGTTAAGAGGCAGACACGGGTCTGGCTGAGGCAGTGCGGTCTCCTCATCACCCAAACCCCATCAGAGCCACTGGCAGTCCCCTGCAGTCCCTGTCAGTGCAGTGCTGGCAGGAGCAGAGGATTCCTTTAAGACGTTAGGGAGGTAAAGCAGATGGGGAGGGAAGGAGAAATACTTTTCGGCGATACGAGCTTGCAAAACAGCCTGCCGGGTGGTGGCAACTGCAACCCTGTTATTACAGAACAGGGAGGACTGCTCTGTGTCCCCTCGGAGGCTTCAAGGGACAGGGATATAAGGACAAAGCCCCAGGGAAGAGCCACGCACTCCATGTGAGGGGCTACAAACAGCATCAACAACCCCACCAAGCACAGGCCTTGAAGCAACTGAGCCCCCTCCAGGGACACACAACCCAGCAATTCCATGTAAAACACATTTTCTGAGCCACCCTACAGGCTGGAGGAGGATTTGCTGCAGTTTCCACACAGGCTGGGAACTGGCTTCTCTTTTTATAGGCTTTTCTTTTATTCCCTAGCTAATGATGAAGGTGATGTTCTGAGGAGCAAAAGCACTGCCAGTCACGGATGCATCACCATGGGGAAAGCAGTTCTTTCTGTCCTACATGTCATAGCTCATGTTAGCTCTTTAGGGAGGCTTCAAGCTACCAGATATTCAATACTAAGAAAGAGAAGACCCCAAAATACAAGTCAAATCCACGTTATACTCATAAGCAAATAAAAAATAAGGGAAATTGAGAGCACCTCTGCCACTCAAGGGCACCCCTTTTGAACTGATAACCACAGCCTGGCCTCACACTGAGCGCAACATCATCACACAGCATGAAACTCCAGGACACCACAGCATCCAAAAGCCAGGTTCAGAGCAGGCTGAAGCATCCCCCATGACCCTGTCTGGGGAACAGGTCACCACTGCTCTGAACACTGAAGGTCCAGGAGGTTTGATGGAGTCATGATGGGGAAAGAAAACAGCTGCCTAAAAACAAACGCAGGAAAGGAACGTGTTCCACAGGGCAGAGGGCAGGTGGTGGCTCCTGGAGCTCAATAACTGCAGGATGGATGTGACAACAATGGCACAAAGTAGCTGCTTTTGGGTTTCTTAAGGTGTTTCGGGCAAGTGCCTTCACACAGTGGCAGAAGGAGCCGATGTGCAGCTGACAGCAGGGACAAGAGAAAGATTCACTGGCAGTGCTTGGCTTGTGTAGAGCTGTGCTTTTTGGACAGGCTCAGTACCCTGCATGCACTCTGCCTCTTCCCTGGAAGCTCACCATGAGGATAACAGCACCAAAGGGGGTTGGGATCACAAAATATGGGGATTGTTAAGGTTAACATGTGTTTTCGGTAATGATCTTCAGCATTCAGTGACAGCCCCTTGGTCTTACCCCTGACCCGAGGCAGCAGAACAAGTCCTAACACCATCCCTTCCAACCAACTCAAATCAAAGCATCTCTGCACCAAACACAACTTGCTCTGGAGAGCTGGAGCACCCCTAAATGCATCTCGAAGCCCTGATGGGGCTGTCACTACTGATCTGAGGTTGGACAAGGCTGGCAGTGGAAGGGAGCATCCCCACACCTCATCAGTATGGACCTCCTGAGAAGCCCCAGAGCAATTCAAGCAGCTCTGCCACCTCGCCTTCAGCCTTCAGAGGCCCACACTGCTACAAAACATGCACAAACACAGGACAAAATAAGCCAGACAAGCATTTCAAAACGAGTCTGAAACACAGAAGACACAGAGCACATGAGCTGCAAACGTTGCCTGGACTATACTAGATAGGGGGAATATTAACATTTCAAGCCACAGATGTTTCAGTAGGTGTTCAGCAGGCAAACACAAATACCACGGAGCTGGGGAAGCAAATAGAGATCACAGCATGGTCCAGTGTGGATGCAGCAAAGCTCTAGGAGAACATCTGCAGCTCCTGAAAGCAGACTCCTGAAGGCAGGAGCCCTGTTTGCTGCACGTTGCCCAACACAAGGCACAGTGTTCCATTCGGATGCGTCACCCTGCTCTCCTTTAATCTAAGACACAAGCAAGTTGAAAAGGGATTCTGACCTGAATATCTACACTACATCAAAAGCTGCATTAGCTGCTAATGGCAGCACAACCCAGATACCTGGATGCAGCTCCTGGGGATATCACCAACTGCAGATGGTCCCACTCAGGTCAGAAAACTGCACTCAAAAGGAGCTCCAACCTGGAAAAGCACCCATTGAGCACGTTATCAGGGCCATCTGTCCTCTTTTCACAGGGTTTTATCTAGATATGGACCAGATCTGAGCCCCTCTCTGCCTCTGACACCTTTCAGAAGCCCTCTCAGACATCCCCACATAACGCTGCAGTTCAAAGCCAAGGGCTTGAAGCTTATTTATATCCAACCTTAAGGACAATTTGTGAGGGCAAAGCCTGGCTCGGTGTTTCCCAACAAAGCTCGCCATGCCTAAATATACAGGGGAAAAGAACTTCCCTCTGAGGAGCAGCTCTATTTACACAGAAAGTGGGAAGCCTTTTCCAGCAGCCCTCACTCACATCCTGTGGAAGCGGCTGGAACGGGCAGCGGGTGAAGCTGCCAAACCCCAAGGCTGCTTTGAAGCCCTGCAGGGACCTTCACAAACCAGTTGTGTGCTGGGAACACAGGGAGAAAGGACCATCCCCTTCACCCCAGTGCTGGTGCCGCTGCTCCGGAGGGAACTCGAATCACAACTGGAAATCACACACACTGCTTGGAAAGCCGGCGAGCAGAGCAGTAAAATCCTGTCAAACCCAAGAGCTTCACTTCCCAATGTGGAAAAAATGCTGCTTGGGTGGAGTCAGCCATCAGGGAGAACAGCAGGTAAGACAGCAGGAAAAACATGCACAAACATCTTCACTATGTGAAAACAAGCACTGGATGTGATTCTGCCTCTGAGAGGAGCACGCAGGTACAAAAGACACAGTGAGGACTGGACACGGTGCAGGAACAGCAATCGTTGCTTGCCCGAATCCTGCCCAGGAGCCTGCTCTCTCCTCTCCCACTTCTGACAGCAGGGAAAGACCGACCCCAGGCAAACCCAAGGGACACAACCTAAGGGAAAGCCAGCAGCATTGAGCCTTTCTGTGGCACAAGTGTAAGGAAAAAGGAAGGGAGGACGGTGGGAACACGCAGGGCTACGGAAATGTGGGAACAACAGCGAGTCCCTTAACTCCTGAATTAACCATCCAGCCCCGAGATTTGGCTCTTCAGCAGGGCCAAGCCCAGGCTGCAACTGCTGCGCTGTGATATCAAACCCTGCATCAGCATCACGGACCTGGGGCTTCACGAGGCAGAGGATGGGTACAGGCATCCTGCCACCAGGCTGGGGATGTGAGCTCCAGTGTGATGGATTGTAAGGCATGCTCCTTTCAGGAGAGGGGAGGGCTCCCAGCTGCTGAGCTGCAGCACGAGCCAGGTTCCCCAGTGAGGATTAAACCCCATTTTAACCCCAGCACCATCCCTGGTGCTCAGTCGGGTTGTCCACACAGCCCCCATGTACCGACCCGACCCACCACACCGCAGCCCAGCACTTCAGTCCGGTTCTCTTTTGTTCTTCCCCCCCCAAACATGAATGAGACTTTAGGTTATCAAGGGCACGATTCCAAGGCTCCTAACAAACGCCCTGCTCCATCTGGAAACCCAAACGGGCTCCAAAGGAGAGGAGAGGGCTGCACAGCATGAGCTAATCCTGCCGAGCCCCTGCAGTGCCTGCCCAGCCCCAGCCCAGCCCCGTCGTGACAAGGGAAACACCACTAAATGAAGCCGTTCTCTCATCGCCCACCACAGACCAGCACCGAAGACAATGGCGAGGAAGGACCCAGCCTCATCGCTTCAATACAAGGCTCCGAGGGACCAAAACAAGCGCAGGGCGAGCAGCACACACGGCACGAACGCGAGATGTGGCTTCCTTAATGGGGAACAAGCAGGGGCTGAGCCTCACCTTTTGTCTTTAGACACGGAGGAGCCGCCTCTGAGGCTGGGGGCACCCCAGCCCGCAGCTCAAACGCTGCTTTTGGGGAGAAATCCGTTTTTTTTTCTTAGAGAAAGGGCAGGTTTTCCCTATCCCCAGCAGTAACAAGACCTGAGGCTGCGCTCCCCTCTCCCGCGGGGCAGGGAACGAACGGGCTTCCCCCCTTCACTGGGGCGAGCAGCCCTCGGGGACCGGGCACAGCACCCCCTAACCCGGGGGAAGAGGGGCTCGGCCCCTTCGCCGTGCCCCCCTCCGGGCTCGGCCTAGCCCCCCGCCGCCGCCGCCCCCCGGGGGAAGGGTCACTACCCGCCCCACGGAGCCCGCCGCTCACCTCCCTTCGCCCGCCGCAGCCAGGCCGAGCCCTCAGGGCTGCCGGCCCCGGGTCCGCCGCGTCGCCCGGGTGACGGCTCGAACCGGCACCGCCATCTTCCTCCCCTCCCTCCCGTCCGCCGCCAACCGCCGCTCCGGAGCGCACCGCGCAGGCTCCTTCCCCTCACGTAACGGCGCGGCGAGGGGCGCCATGATGGGGAGGTCAAGTGCAGCCCGCCCGCCCGCCCGCCTTCGTGTCGCCGTGGCGGACGCCATGATGGGGAGGTCCCGTCGTGGCGGGAGCGGCGCGGGCGCCATGTTGGGGAGGTCGCGCTGAGGAGGAGGCGCCATGTTGGGGAGGTCGCGCTGAGGAGAAGGCGATGGGGCGGTTCCTGCTCCTCCCCGACCGTACCGGGAGGATTCTGCGGCTTTCCGGGCTCCCTCGTCGGCCGCTGCTCGGGGTGGCACAGCCGGGTCCCCGGTTCCGTGCCCCAGCCGTTAGGAAGCGGCCATGTGGGGCTGGGAGTGATGGAAGCTGTGGTGTGGAGGCCGAGGGGGAAAGCAGCAGCGGCAAAGCAGCTTTGCTCTTTGCACCTCAGCGGTGTTACTTGAGGACCTGAGGGATACAGAGGTGAGTGTTGTGTCTCATTGCCCCGTTAAAGCCGCCTAAAAAATCAATGTATCATCAATAAACCCTACAAAAAAATCAATCAATAAATCAACCAATAACCCCCCCAAATAATCAATGAATCTACCAATAAACCCTGAAAAAATCAGTAAATCAATAAACCCTAAAACCTCTATAAATCAATACATCAACCAATAAACCCTAAACAATAATAATAAACCTCCATAAATCAATAAAACATAAAAACCAATAAATCAATAAAACATAAATCAATAATCGATAAATCAATCACTAAACCCAAAACCTCGATAAATCAGTCAATAAATTGACCAATTAACCCTAAAAAATCGATAAATCAATAAATCCTAAACAATAATAAAAGTCAATAAACCCTAAAAAAGCAATATTCAATAAATCAATAAACCCTAAAAATCAATGATAAATTAGTAAACCCTAAAAAAGTCAATAATAAATCAATAAATCCTAAAAAATCAATAACCAATAAATGAATAACCCCCCCAAAATCAATAAATCCATCAATAAAATCACTTTTTGGACGGGCGCTGCAGAACCTGCCCCAAAATCCTTCCTTTTTGCCCCCAAACGCTGCAGTTGCACTCATGGGTGTTCATGTCCTGGCTGCTTGCAGCCGGCGGTGACCCAAGGGGTTTATGGGCTCTTTAACAGCTGCATTTACAGGTGCACAAGGCACGGCTTTCCCGGTGCTTCCTTCTTCCCTTTGCCTTGGAAGTGCCCTTGAGCTCGGCTCCACTCGGGATGGGATCAGGCTGCTCGGGATGGATGTTTCCCGGTGGATGCAGGAGCGCTGTGGGGTGGATCCGGCTGCAGGACAGCCCTGCTCCCTTCATCACCAGCTCCTGCACCCCTCCTGACCAGGACACGGCATCGGCTGCCTACGGATGGGCAAAGCTTCCCTATGGAAGCCAGGCTGAGGAGGGCTCCCAGCACAGCTCAGATCCATGGGGACACCCAGGACTTGTCCTGACAAAGCTCTTCCTTCCTTTTCAAGGCCTCACCGGCAGGTCAGCCACATCCCATCCCGGGCTCCATGCTGCCATGGGAGAAGTGGAATTCCTTTCTGCAGGCGCTGGGTTCCATGGCACAGGACCTGCTTGGTGCTGTGCAGGATGGAGCAGCTCCTTCCCTCTGCTTCCAATGGCCAGCAGTGGCACAGCGAGGAATTCCACCAATTCCTGTCACAGGGAAAACCAACATGAAGGGAGCAGGGCTGTCCTGCAGCCGGATCCACCCCACAGCGCTCCTGCATCCACCGGGAAACATCCATCCCGAGCAGCCTGATCCCATCCCGAGTGGAGCCGAGCTCAAGGGCACTTCCAAGGCAAAGGGAAGAAGGAAGCACCGGGAAAGCCGTGCCTTGTGCACCGGTAAATGCAGCTGTTAAAGAGCCCATAAACCCCTTGGGTCACCGCCGGCTGCAAGCAGCCAGGACATGAACACCCATGAGTGCAACTGCAGCGTTTGGGGGCAAAAAGGAAGGAATTTGGGGCAGGTTCTGCAGCGCCCGTCCAGAAAGTGATTTTATTGATGGATTTATTGATTTTTTTTTGGGGTTATTCATGGATTAATTGATTTTTTGGGGTTTATTGATTGATTTATTGATTTGGGGGGGGTTATTGATTGAGTCATTGATTTTAGGGGGGGTATTGATTTATCTATTTTTTGGGTTTTGTTGATTGAGTCATTGATTTTGGGGGGGTTATTGATTGATTTATCTATTTTTGGGGGTTTATTGATTGAGTCATTGATTTGGGGGGGTTTATTGATTGATTTATCTTTTTGGGTTTGTGAGTCATTGATTTTGGGGGTTTATTGATTGATTTATCTATTTTTGGGGGTTTATTGATTGAGTCATTGATTTGGGGGGTATTGATTTATTGATTTTGGGGGTTTATTGATTGATTTATTGTTTTTTTAGGCTGCTAGAATGGGGCAATGAGCCACAACCCTCACCCCGGAGACAAGAAGTGAATGCAGTGACTCCGGTCCTCCCGCCCGCCAGGGGGCGCTGCCGCGCCGCCTCTTCTCCTGCCCCCTCCCCTCCCGGCCGCACGTGCTCGCCCGCAGCGGCTCCCTGCGCACGCGCCGCCCGCCTCACCTCTCCCCGGGCCGCTCGCGGCGGGGCGCGCATGCGCGGGGCGCGGCTGGCGGCGGCGGAGGGCAATTAAAATGGAAGATGAGGAGGTCGCCGAGAGCTGGGAGGAGGCGGCCGACAGCGGGGTGAGCCCGGCGGAGGGGCCGGCAGCGGGCACCGGGCGGGCGGCGGGGCGGAGCGGGAGGGACCGACAACCGGCGGGGCGCGGCCAGCGGGGCGGCCGGGCCCGGAGCGCCTGCTAGGCCTCTTAAAGGGACCGCGGCCTCGCTCGGTGAAGGGGGTTGTACCCGGCCTCAGCGCCTCCCGCCCGCCTCCTCTCCATCCCCCGGTGCTGTGGGAGCCGCTTCCCGCCCCTCCGGCTGTCCCCCGGTGCCCAAACACACTTCTCTGTTTCTCCGGCCGTGTGGGGCTGCGGGCAGGGCGGCAGCGGCCGGGCCGGGCCAAAGCTGCGGGCGCTGGGGAGCGTGGGGGGGTGCTGGGTCCTTCTGCTGAGCGGCCACGGCAGGATAAGCCACGTTAAGCCCCGCAGGGTGGGCTGTGTCTGCCGGGGGGGGGGGTCACAGCCAAAGCCCTTTTGCTCCCTTGGCTCCCTGTTAACGTGCTGCTTCACTAGGACAAACCGTGGCTCGTAGCTGAGGTTTTGGCTTGCCGTTAATAGCTCCAGAGCTGAGGTTCTCCTCACTGAGAGGCTCTGAAGCGTGAAATAAAGCCATTACTTTAGCAGGGGGGGTGGGTTGGGGTCTGTGGGGGGCTCACACCGGGGGAGAGGAAACCCTTTAACAGGCACACTCCTGTTTGAATGCGTTCATTACCAACCAGAGGGCAAAAGGACTTTGTAACAATGACTTGGTGAAAAGGCTGAGGCTTCTCGGGGGATTGGGTTACGTCTGCCCAGCAAGGGGGTGGCAAAATAGAGCCTGTAACTCAACCCATGCCCGAGCCCAGCGCTCGCCCCGTGCCAGGGCCTGCGGAGCCTTGTGCTGGGTGGTGCGGTTCAGTCGCTCCATGAAGGGACATAACTCGTGTCCCCGGCAATGCTGATAGCTGTGGCCTTGAGTAATGGTTTAAAATTGTAGGGCTGCTCAGATCCCGGCCAGCCGTTGTCTGCCCTCGCTGTCCTTTCCAGCCCGTACCTTGTAGGTGTGCTTCTAAAGCCCTTAGAAGGAAGAGGCTGTTCTCACCCCCTTTTCCAGTCCAAACTCGTGGGGGTTTTGTCTTCATCAAGCTCTCCTGAGAAGCTGCTGCTGCTCTTGCAGCTGCTTTGGCAGTTGTCGGGGCTTGGGGGTGCCTGCAGAAGCAAAGGTATCTGCGGCAGGAGCTCCTCTTGTGTAAGACAAGGGTCAGGAGCTGCCTTCTGGCATCTGTTGTGATTTAAAAAGGTCATTTCCAAGCCCTGCCTGGCAGGAAAGAGCCCCTCTACTGCTGCCGGTGGCTGCAGGAAGCACGGTGGGATGGAGCAGGGGAGCCCAGCCTCTGCCTGACCAAGGGTTTTCATGGTCCCAATGGACGTGGATGCGGTTGGGCTGTGCTGCTGCAGAATCAGAGCTACCAGAGGTGGAATGCAGAGGGCAGGAAGAGGCCATGCTGCAGAGCAGCAGCGAGACTGATTCACTTGTTGGCTGGGCTCTGTGCCCAAGCCCTGCTGCTGTTGTGGGCCTGGAGCCTGGGACCTGCCCGAGCGAGATGGGTCTCATGGCAGAGGTGAAAAAGGATGCACATGGAAGGGGTGAGGTGGCCGGGTCCTGTCAGCACAGGGACCTACATCTTCAGACAGGCTGAGAACATTGGGGCTGTTCAGCCTGGAGAAGAGAAGCTGCGTGGAGACCTCAGAGCAGCTTCCAGTGTCTGAAGGGGGCTGCAAGGATGCTGGAGAGGGGCTCTTCATCAGGGACTGGAGTGATAGGACAAGGGGTGATGGGTTCAGACTGAAACAGGGGAAGGTCAGGTTGGAGATAAGGCAGAAGCTCTTCCCTGTGAGGGTGCTGAGGCGCTGGCACAGGGTGCCCAGAGAAGCTGTGGCTGCCCCATCCCTGCCAGTGTCCAAGGCCAGGTTGGACTCAGGGGTTTGGAGCAAACTGCTCTAGTGGAAGGTGTCCCTGCCTGTGGCAGGGGTTGGAGCTGGAGGAGCTTTAAGGTCCCTTCCAGCACAAACCAGGCTGGATTCTGTGATTTTATTCTTCTGCTTTTATCTCACTTGCCGTGGATTGGAGGTGGCACAAGACAGATCCTAGAAAGGCACAAGCCAGCAGCAGCCAGTGCTCAAGAGGAATATGCAATAAAACATAACTCCCACATCAAGGAGCAGCTTTAAACACAGACTCTGCTCCTCGTACTTCAAGCACTTGAGGACCTGAGTTGCTATCATTTATGTTAGACCCTTCAGCACATCTCTGAGGGAGCAGCAGAGGTGTAGCAGATCCCAGATGGGCTTTGGGATATGTTGCTTGCTTCTCACTATGTAACTTGTTAATATTCCACCCAGATGGGTTCCTTAGGACAAAGAGCACATCACATGTTAGTGCTGGTCCTGTTCTGGGTGTTAGGCTGTGAACTTGTGCACAAGGCCTTCAAGAAGGTGGTTCCAGCCTGCCCAGAGGTGCTGTGGTCTCTCGGTTACAATTCACCTCCCGTCTTTCTTATAGATCTGCCTTGCAACAGAGGCAGTGCTAAAATCTCTTTAAGTTAAGGGGAAACCCCCAGGAAACCTGTGGCAGACCTTCTGCCTTGCTTTGGTCAGTCACGCAGCTCCTCAAGCATGTCTGCTGCTCTTGAGGTTGCCTTTTTGGGTCTTCACATCTTCAGTGTGGTTTCTGTTTGTGTTTTACCCCCTGGGTCACTGGAGTTCCCCAGTGCTTGCCAGAGAAAGGAGCAGCTCTTTGGGTACGTGCCACCCCCTGAGCAACCGTGTGCAGCAGAGCTCTGGGGGACCTCTCCATCTGTGTTGCCCCGTTGCTGCCTCACTACACCTTGAAAACGCCTGTGGAATGGGGAGGTTTTGCTGCTCTGTGAATTACGGGTGGAAAACAGGGCGTAAATAACAACTGAAGTGGCTAAATGAGGAGTCTGGGTTAGTAAACACTCGGATGACTTCATACGGGGCTTTTGTGTGGCCTGGCTGGCTGTAGGGAAGAGGGAATCATGGATGAGAGAGGTCTATTTGGGACACCTCAGTCTATTTACCTGCCTAAACCTAATAATTAAGCATCAGGTGGGAAGCTGAGCTCCAAAACTGGACTGGAAGCCCCATGTCCTGGGTCACAGGTAACCTTCAGTCTGGAATTGGTGCCCTTCAAGCTATTCGGGGTTTGCTTATTCCTTTGTTAAGCAGAATTTGTATCAGTGTCATCCAAATTAGGAACTTACGTTTTCTCTGCACAGATTCTGAGTTGAAATCGGTCTGGCAGCCCCAAATGGGTTAAAAACTGTAAAACCTGATCCTCTTGGGTGTCTTTTCTCCACCTCAGTTTGCTGCTGATGGACAGTTTACAGGGCAGTTTGCTCCCAGCCGCTGCATCCCGCCTTCCTACTGGCCCTTCACACCTATCCCATCGCAGTCCAGAGTCGAAGTCCTGTGCTCAGGCTGCTCCTTGCTTCACTGGTCACCACCAGCACGAGAAGCTCACCCTGATGATCTGCAGCCCAGCCATTGGGGAGGATGAGAGCAGCTGAATGTGTGTCACTGAACTTTGTCCCTCCTGTGTGGGGACAGGGGTTGTCGCCTGCTTGTGCTGTGGCACTCGGTGAGGACCCAAGGTGGGGAAGAAAACCTTCTTTTTGTCCTCTCTAAAGTGGTCAGAGGGCCTGGATTTGAGCCTGCGGCAAAGGCAGAGCGTTCCCAGCTTGTAAAGGTTTTAGCTTGGAGTTGCTAAATGGGATTGAGGCACAGAGAAGTCGGAAGGGAAATGTTTCCATGTGCAATGCTGTGACTCCAGTCCAGCTTGTGCCACCAGAGGAGGAACTGATGGGGTTTTGGTTTGCAGGACCTGCACCCGGGAGGATCACTGCTGGGTTTTGATGTCAGGGCTGTGAGGATGACAGGATCCCAGCCTGGTTTGGGTTGGAAGGGACCTTAAAGCTCATTCAGCTCCAACCCCTGCCACGGGCAGGGACCCCTTCCACTAGAGCAGCTTGCTCCAAGCCCCTGTGTCCAACCTGGCCTTGAACACTGCCAGGGATGGGGCAGCCACAGCTTCTCTGGGCACCCTGTGCCAGTGCCTCAGCACCCTCACAGGGAAGAGCTTCTGCCTAAGAGCTCATCTCAGTCTCCCCTCTGGCAGGTTCAAGCCATTCCCCTTGGCCTGTCCCTACAGGCCCTTGTCCCAAGCCCCTCTCCAGCTTTCCTGCAGCCCCCTTTAGGATGAGTTTTGACTTCAAGGACCAAAATGCTCTTTGTAAAGCCTTTGCTGACTGTTCCCTTTAGGTGTTTGCAGTGTCACCAGAGCCTTAAAGCTGGGAAAGGAAAGGTTCCGTTCCTGCTGCTCAGGGTTGCTGGGGCAAAGGAGGTTGGTTTGGTAGGAGAAAATGATGTTTGCAGGTTGGGAATGGCTTTGGGGATGTTGCTGCAAGTCCTGCTCGTGTCGCTCAGACCTTGAGGAGCAGCTGGATGCGACCCTGCGCAGGGACATGGGTGCGGAAGGCAAAGGTGATCTTCAGGATTAAGGGATGTTCCAGGCCCTTGGCAGAGGGCTTTTGCTAGGTCTTAATCTCTGTTTTGTTGCTAGGTTGATAAAGGGTGTCAGTTCCCACTCTGCAGCCGAGAAGTGCATGTCCCAAGTGCTTCCCCCCTCCTGTAGTGTGTCTGTGCTGGGAATACCGTGTGGCGCCCGCCAGGCTTGTTCCCCAAAATACTCCCGTGTCTTGTTTCCCAGTATCCTGCTACCAGGAGCGTTATCTGCCTATGGAAGATGTAAATGCCAGCACACTGAGAAGCATCTGAGGCTTTCTCAGGCACCATCCGCTGCCAGGGTTTAACATAAGCAGAGTAACACGGGGAATTAATTAATGGAGCAGTTTTGATTCCCGGGATAGCCTCAGGAATTGCAATGTTCCTGTAATTAATAGAAGATTAATTTATCTTCAGAGCAAAGAAGTAGGTACCTAATGAGGAGTCAGCTTGGAGGTGGCG